CGACTGGATTCGCCGTTCTTTGTAACGCGAAAAGTGTGGTGGTCGTTATAACGCACTTCTATTTTAAAACTATGACTGATAGAAATATATTTTTATAGACAGTATATTTTTATCAGCGAGATTTCGTGATTGGTTACTGGTGTTGAATGCTGGGTCAGAATCGACCCCACTAGGAAAGATTAAATGTCAAGTTTTTCCCTGAAACAGATTTACATACTAATATGTAAAAGACATTGCAACATAGGAACATGCGATAGGCACAGTCGTGCGTGTTGTTTAATTTTGAGTGTAATGCTATGTCGGCTTATGCGGGCTGAGCAAATTGAGTAGGTAAGGTACCGTTAATATATCAGTGACGTCCTGCCGCCGCGATCGGCCGTTTGGTTGGCTGTCTCCCGCTGCCCGCACCGGTCTTAGATCGGCGTGCAGTCGTCCCAACAACATGTCCCTGCTTGGAAACCAGAAAAGCTACAGACATGTTTTGTCAAAACACGCACAGCGAATCCTGCAGAGGCTGCTGAAAATTTGGGATTATATGATATGCCAGGGAGATATCGACAGAAAATTCCAGGGAGGGGCACGACCCCCCCCCCCCCCAACAGGGCGAGGGTTAAAATATTCCACGTCACGTACAGGTACAAATAGTCAACACTTCAAAGTACATTCCAGAATAAAGTGTGCTAATCCCTAGTTGAAAGTTTGCCGTCAAAAATTCCGACTAGTTGGTGCCCATCTAACCGCTAATGATCCTCTTAAACTAAAAGAGTTTTTGTGCGACCCTGTCAACGAATGAAACGATTCAACAGTCAACAGTCAATCAACAGTCCCATGGATTTGCACTGGTGGGGTGGCCCGCGTCAGCGAGTATTAGGCCGGCCCCTCCCCCCTCCCAGCACGCACCGCATAAAGGCAGCAACATAAACTGGTACTGCGCAGCCTGTACCAGTTTATGTACCAGCCTGTACCTGGAACCTACTGCCCTTGTAAACGGAGCGGGAGGCAGGAAGGAAGGGGGCTGGCACCCCGGCGTATGAGCAAAGATCTGAACTCCGATAATTTTCCTTATTGATAATTGATACTTGGAGCGTCACCCGCGCTCGCCTGTCGCCGCGGGCGGCCATCACGAGGACTGGCGCCCGACTGCCACAACACAGCTGCCACACCACGGCTGCCACAACACAGCTGCCACACCACGGCTGCCACACCACAGCTGCCTGCCACACCACCCACACCACAGCTGCCTGCCACACCACAGCTGCCTGCCACACCACAGCTGCCACACCACGGCTGCCTGCCACACCACAGCTGCCACACCACGGTTGCCATACCACGGCTGCCACACCTCAGCAGCCACACCACAGCTGCCACAGCACGCTGCCACACGACCCCAGACCGCAGCGCACAGGAGCGCCACGCACATCGCCCGTGACGGTGCGGCGCACGAGATCAGGCCGGCCCGACTCCGTTTCACGTGCCGTCGCTGACGCCGCGGGCGGCAGAGGCGTGCTGGGAATGCGTGCCGTCGCGCTTGGGCGCAGCTGATAACGCCTCTCCGCCCCGCCTGTTGGCGGCGTTGTCATCGTATTTCCCGGGTGCGAGGCGGGCGCCGAGAAATCGACTGCGGGTGCGAGCGAGCTCCCTTCGCCGTCCGAGCGCCGTGCGCAGCGGGGCGGGGCGGGGCGGGACGAGATGGAGGGAGGGGAACGTGGGCGATGGTGTCCGTAACCCCCCCGCGCGCCGGCGTGATTGGCTGAGCAATTAGTCCGGTTTGAGTGGGAGCAATCCGGCGATCTGCCGCGGTCCGGGCTGTGGATGACCTTTGCCCAGGCCTCCGGATGGAGGCGGGATGTTACCACTGGTCCTCAGCGGGGCCGGCATGGCCCTCCCTGGGGAACCCGCTCACACGACATAGCGTAGCGCGCCGTCAAAGATAGCCAATCGCGACGGCGGAGGGGCCGGCTCACAGCCTGCACGCAACATGCTGGTTGAGAGCCAGGCGTCCAGTGAAGAGACTGGGCTGCCCGGCTACATGTGCGGCGGGTTTGTGTTCCGGGGCTCAAAGCGGCACGTTGCCGCTCCAAACCGCCGCGTTGACATGGCGCCGGTGCCGTCGAGCTCACCCGCGGTCGTCACGAGCGTGCCCGACGTTGGTCCGGACCGGACCCGGTGGTTTGCCGGCTACCTGTTGCCCCGCCCGTCCGTGCGCTCGTCCGTTCTTCCGTCCATCGAGGTCGATACAGCCGCGTGAGGCGGGGGATGGGTGAAGGGTGGGGGCGGTGTGCGCCGCCGCCGTACGCCCCGGCCGCTTCGTTCCGGCCGCCGCGGCGTCGGCCGGCTGCGGTGCAGGCGGGCCGGTGCTGGCGTGCGGTGTGGCCGTGGCCGTCCCGCTGTGGGTCTGTCGCCGCCGCCGCCGCCGCCTCAACGTAATCACCACCGCGGCCCGGGTGTCGGTGTGGTGGCTCCTGCTCGCTTTGGGTCGGTGCCGAGGATGCGGACAGGGTAGGTCAGCGTGGCATGATCGCATCTCTACCACTTCACCCGTGGCCACGAGAGGCGCCCGAGAAGCATGGCGGCGGCGCTGTGCAGCTTGTTGTGCTGTAAGGGTTGCCAGTACAGCTGACCTTAATGTTCCACGCAGGCCTTTGCGGATAGGTTGCACCACTTAATCAGGTGTGGCGTTATGTTTGTAGACTGATATGATATGTGCAAATTACGTCCGCTAAGGATTGGTTTTCCCCATTTCTGCCCCATTTCGCCCACGTAAGGCTTGCATGATACGGCTGTACCCGTTCAGTTCATATAAAGTTGGTTTCAAAGTTATCGCGGCTAAGTTCTCACTCCCCAGGCGACGGGGATACGTCCGTTTTCTTTTTCCATTAATGTCTGCAAAATTGGAAAAGTTTGCCACCGGCTGGCGGACCGTCATTGCAGTTGCGAGACGGTGTTCAGATATGGCCTGTTAGACCACGTGAGTGATGGGGCGCGTCAGGCGTCGGTCGGGTCACGTGACATAGGTTTGTGTTCGAACACGCGGCGAGGCTTCGGGGGCTTCAGCCACGGCCCGCGGGTCAGGCGCCGCCGCCGTGACCGGGCGACACTGAGCTGGCCTGGATCCGACCCGTAGGGGGATCCCGTGGTGGCAGTGGATCCGGATCGACCCGCGGTGGATCCCGTGGTGGCCGGTGGATTCGGATCGACCCCGCGGTGGATCTGTTGGTGGCGGTGGATTCGGATCGAACCCGCGGCGGATCTCGTGATGGTGGATCCGGATCGATCCGCGGCGGATCTCGTGGTGGTGGTGGATCCGGATCGACCTATGGTGGATCTCGTGGTGGTGGATCCGGATCGACCCGCGGCGGATCTTGTGGTGGTGGTGGTGGATCGGGATCGAATCGCGCGAACATGGAGGACGGCTGGCCTGACAGCGGGGCGACCACATGGAGTTGAGCGGTGGCGAGAACCCCTCAGTCCGGCCTAATAACGGGCGGGGGTTATGCGAAATGTTAGCCAATGTTCTTCAATGTTAAGTGCGTGCGATGCACTGTTTATAGTCCTGATGTAGATGATGCGCGAGTGTAATCAGGCGCAGAGCCCAGTCAGAGTCCGTCAGATTCAGAGTCAGAAGTCAGTCAGAGTCTGAGTCGGAGCACCAGGTATCCGCGTCATAATGCTTACATCGGGCTTGCTCGAGGATGCAGGGTCATGATTCAGTGAGTTGTAGACGCGTCTTTACCATACATTTCGTACTAGCTACTCTAAACTCGATAACATTCGCTTTGGTATGCGTGGGGTAACAACGTTTTCAACTTCCTGTGCCGATTTACGCATCTTGGCTGGTCTCTGATACTCTTCATTCAGTCAATATGAAGGACATACAGATCCTCTTGACCAGAAAACCCGCTCGGTAATGTTTCGGGACACCGACAGAGGGCAGAGGTGGGCGTCTGAGGCCGAGAGGACCCAAAAGAGGCGCTCAAAAAAGGGGCTTCAGCGGAACTAACGCCATCGCTTCCGTCACCACCCACTCCGCAGCGGCGTTGCAAATGCGTAGCCTATCCGCGGAATCAGGCATCAAAGCGCCCTTGGGCGGCGCTCGTCGATCTCGGGGGGAAACCGCGCCGACAAAAACTCGGCTGCCATTGAGAACGTTCGCCCCGCATGAGTGGTGCCCTGGAGCGCGCGGCGTCATCAGCCAGTGGGACGGAGGACCGCTGCGAAAAGCAGCGGCACGCCGCGTGCTCAGAAAATTAAACAGAATGACACCACGGGACAATCAAGGGGGCTTTGCTTGCGTGTTTTAGCGCACGCGCCCTCATTCATAAGGAAACGTGCTCCAGTGTATCGCGTGTCACTGCTTTTTCCGTCCCTGCCAGCGCCAGGGCAGGGACGGAGAAAATCTGTTTAAACGAATCTGTTTAAAACCATACTGCCTTGTTCGTGCCTTCCGTGTCGACAACCATACCTGGTTCTCACAGCATAGACTATAGTCATCCGTCCACTCACCGTCCCAGGACGGCACGTCCGGCGGACTTGTGGCCGTACGAGACTAGCGGGATGTGACCTACAGCTTCGTACCCGGCCCACTGTAACCCCGGCCGTCCCCCGTCGGAACGTAACCTCAGCCCGGCCCACTGTAACCCCGGCCGTCCCCCGTCGGAACGTGACCTCAGCCCGGCCCCACTGTAACCCCGGCCGTCCCCCGTCGGAACGTGACCTCAGCCCGGCCCACTGTAAACCCCGGCCGTCCCCCGTCGGAACGTGACCTCAGCCCGGCCCACTGTAACCCCGGCTGTCCCCCGGTCGGAACGTGACCTCAGCCCGGCCCACTGTAACCCCGGCCGTCCCCCGCCGGGACGTGACCTCAGCCCGGCCCACTGTAGCCCCGCCGTTCCCCGTCGGAACGTGACCTCAGCCCGGCCCACTGTAACCCCGGCCGTCCCCCCGCCGGGACGTGACCTCAGCCCGGCCCACTGTAAACGCAGGCCGTCTTCCGTCGCCAGGCATCAAGAAGGGTGAGACGAGCAAGGACGGCATGTTCACACTCAACGAGGTCGAGTGTTTGGGGGCGTGTGTCAACGCTCCCATGGTACAGATCAACGACAACTACTACGTGAGTACCATTGAGAACGACGGTGATGTCTTGATTTAGGAGCGCTACGACTGCCTTGGTCACCCTGCGCCTGTGTGGAGAATGTGGAGGACCAGTACCATGGAGTACGTTACTTGGGATGCGCTTTGACTTTGTGCTGTTTGCGTGTTTTCTGCCGCTGTGTTGATGTCTACATTGATGTTGCTGGTGATAATTTGTTCTGTGCCGGTTGTTGTTGGGTGTTGGTTCTCCGTACCGCCCTGTACCGGTGTCGTGAGCCTTTCCTTGGGGTTTCTTCCGGTAAGCCCGCCGTCCCTGCGCGCAATGGCCCTGTCTGAACGGTCCGTTCTGTGCTGGAATAGTATTGCATTCGTTTCGCCACAAAGAACGCTTTTTTTCGCGAGGGAGCGAAAATAAGTTATGGTTTATTTAGACTGGGGCGGGTGGATGGGCTCACGCGCAAAGAATGCACGAGCGGAGCCGCACGCTTGCCGCCGAACTGGATGTGGGAGTGCGGCCATTTAAAACCAGAACAGATCGCAGCAGCTTTGTCTATGCGGTCGGTACGCCTGTACTGTTCTCTTTCGCTCCTGCGTGTGTTTTTCTTTCCAATCGGAGAGCTTTCAGCGACGTCGATGTTGGCGTTCTGAGCCTCTCTAATCGCACCACTCTCTTGACAAGTTCACCAGCTGTTGTGGGCAGAGTTGCGCTCGGATGGACTCGGATGAAACCGATTCTGATTCCGACCGCGGCTCATTGGATCGGTTGTGACGAATCTGAATCCGAACGGCACGGATCAGGCTTGAGTTGATTCCTATCTCGGCTGGTGGAGGTGAGGCCTGGTTTCGGAATCGATTTTAACGGAATCGCTGCCGGTGGCAGTAGTTGAAAATATGCATGTGACTTTATATTTCGGGTAAGATAAGACATGCGCCAAAAATGTAGAATGATCCGGCACATGAATTGCATCGGATGCGCAGCTTCAAAGATTGGGCACCCATACGCCGAGAACGGAGAGGTGCCTCGATTATCGCCCCCCCCCCCCCCCCCCCCGCCCCTTCCTCCCCATTCTCTGACAGGGGCTCCCGATGGTGATGACTGCGGCGCCTCCCCTCCCCCTCCCCTGACACCAGTCCCGGGTGTTGATGACCGCGGCGCCTCCCTCTCCCAGAGCCGGCCCCGGGTGTTGATGACCGCGGTGCCCTTCCCCTCTCCTGGTACCGGTCCCGGGTGGTGATGACCGCGACGCCTCCCTCTCTCTCCAACACCGGCCCCGGTGTTGATGACCGCGGCGCTCTCACCCTCTCCATGGCACTGGCCCCGGGTGGTGATGACCGCGTTTCCTCCCTTTCCCGGGCAACGGTCCCGGGTGGGTGATGACTGCGGCGCCTCCCTCTCTCGGACAACGGTCCCGGGTAATGATGACCGCGGCGCTCCTCTGACGCCGTCCGCGGTTGGGCTCGCCAGCAGCTGTTCCTCACTACTATCCACACTGTGGCCCGAGCGAGCGTGTCTGGTCGGGACCAGACCCCGGCCAGCTGGTCCGCGGTCCCGACCCATACAACCAGCTGATCTGCGGTCCCGGCCCCCCAAACAATCAGCTGGTCCGCGGTCCCGACTCCAAACGACCACCTGGTCCGCGGTTCCTGACCCCAACTAGCCAGCTGGTCGGCGGCCCGACCCCAACCAGTCGGCTGGTCCGCGGTCCCGACCCCAAACAACCAGCTGGTCCGCGGTTCTCTTCCCCCTCCCCCACCAGCCGGCTGGTCCGTGATCCCGACTCCAAACAAACTCCAGGCGTGGTCGAACCCAGGTAGCCCATGTGCGGTCGAAGGTCGTCCTAGTTTTTCAGAATCGTTTAGCTTGGAATACAATGGCAAAACAAGCAACACTAACTTTATGCTTTCATGTTTCGTTTCCGGCCCTGTTTTTCCGGTCCCTAATGCTGTTTATGGTAACTGGATTTGCGTTTGATGATGTATGGAAGTAACATCACATACGCAATAAATGCAGTTCAGAACATGGTAAATACGTCCATATTGTGTTCCCTCTCTAGGTTTTTCCTGTCCCTGATGCTATGTTCTGATAACCGGATTTACGTTTGGTAATGCATCGGCAGTGGCACAACGTGCGCAATAAATGCATTTCAGTGGTGAATAAGTATGTCCGTATCGTGTTCCCCTCTAGGCTGTAACGTTCCCACCCATGTTTCTCCACCCAGCGAAAGCAAGGTTTTATATTGGAGCTCTTCACTTCAATACCCTGACATACCTTATATTTCGGGCCGTGGTCGGGCCCATCCCGCGGCCGCCGGTCGCCCGTCATCCCTCCACTGTAGTGCCCGAGTGCACAATACGGACGCGGCGAGGCCGGCGAAATGATGGCCGGGCCGCCAGAGCTGGGCCGCCGCCGAAGGCACCATTGGACCCCGATGAGGCCGGCCAGCGTTTCATTTCGCTTTACGGGGGTCCTGCGAGCGGTCAGCGGCTTGGGAGCGGAGCCGGGTGCGGTGCGTCCGGGTGGCCTCGGCGCTCCGTCGGCTCCAGGGGCCGGGGAGCGGTCAGGGGCTTGGGAGCGGAGCCGGGTGCGGTGCGTCCGGGTGGCCTCGGCGCTCCGTCGGCTCCAGGGGCCGGGGAGCGGAGGCGGGGTGCGGTGCGTCCGGGGGCCGTTGGCGCTCCGTCGGCTCCAGGGCCGGGGAGCGGTCAGCGGCTTGGGAGCGGAGGCGGGTGTGGTGCGTCCGGGTGGCCGTCGGCGCTCCGTCGGCTCCAGGGGCCGGGGGAACGGTCGGCGACTTGGGAGCGGAGGCGGGTGCGGTGCGTCCGGGGGCCGTCGGCGCTCCGTCCGGACCCAGACCCGCGTAAAACCGAATGGAGCGAAACGGCCGTAAAGCTGGGCTGATGAATGGGCATAAAACGTGTGCCAATGGTATTCCTTGGCCAAGTTATGGATACCTTTGTCCTGCACTTTCCCTTACATCGTTGTAAGCCTATTTGTCACGCACTGGTGCTCTTTGTCGGCATGCCAGCTGCCCGTATTTCATCCTTGTTGGCATGATCGTAAACAGGCAGCTGAGCTTCGGTGAGAGCGTACAAATGGCTTGGTATGCGTTGATACACGCCATCTTGTCAGTGATGGACATTAAGACCATGTGCTTGGGCCTTGGCCATGTTGCCTTTGTGACGTCACCATGAGCGTTTTGTTTCTTTGCACCTCATGACGGCGATCCGGCGCTCGGCATGAATGGGCCTGGGACAAGGCCCCAGACCGCTGCCATCCTAACAATGCCGCTTTTCGGAACCTCATTGTCGGGCCATTGCTCCGAACATAGCCGTGACATGCGGCTTTTCGGGATCGCATTGTCAGGCCATTGCTCCAAACATGGCGCGTCGTGACATGCACGCAGCATAACGGACGCTAGTGAGTGCCTGGCCTCGCTCATTATCGGTAAGGCCAGCGCATTATCGGTAATGTCAGCGCGCGTCAGATTTTCCCGCCGCGTACTCTCAGCCATGATGAAGGGGTTATGCCGCGTGCGCGCGCACTGATGTTACGCATCACAAATGTCACCTCCGTGGTCCACGTTCAGGGTAATGGACTCGTAATGTAGTGACGCTGAACAGGGGCCCCTAAGACGTGCACAGTGTGCCGACCGGTGTGGAAAGATCGGCGCAACGGGCGCGAGGATGCCGACCCTGGCGGCGGCAGGGTTGTCACAAGTTGTTTTACGACGCGCAAGAAACTACAGTGCGGCGCGCTTAAGTTGGTGTTATGAGCAATATGAGTTCCCCCCCCCCCATTGTGAAGAAGTGCTGTGCACCTCCTTGGTTATTCCCGACACAAGAAACCTATTTGCTGTGCCGAGGGGGACGTAGGGACAGACAAGTCCCCCCAGACACGATTAAAACTCAACATTATGCGGTTGAATTGGTATGGAAAGTAACGCCCTAGAAGGCTGAATGGGTGCCCAAAATGCTTATGACCTGTGATTTAAAGGATGCTGAAAATGTTCTGTAATCGGTGGTATCTACAGGCTGTCATCGGGCGTTACTGGACAGTGGGAAGGTACATCCCATTTTTGACAAGCACGGTATTCACACGGCATTGGATGTCAAAAAACGAAGTTAAAAAGCTGCGGTAACTTCTGGGAATTTGCGGCTGCTAGCTAGCTGTTATTCAGAATACTTTCTACAAACGTCTATGTGTGTATTTGTCTGCAGCTTTTTCCTGTAAATGTTCGGGGCGCATATGCCCTCCTTGATCTGCCCGCCGCCCACCTAGCCTGTTTATAAAATGCCTGTCATCAGGTACAGTAAAAGCGCGTTCGGCTCACATCCAACGATATTCGTGGCGAAGACTGTGCATGGAGACTGAATTGCTGCATAGGCATTGGACACACAATGGCGCACCTTTTCGTCGACGTGCCTCACAGCGTGAGCTGCCATGGGATGCATGGCTGGAACGTCTTCTCCCTTACTTACATGCGTCAAAAAAAAACAATTACTATCTTCATTCAGTATAGTTGTGAGGTACATTGTTTTTGGCAGATGTCTCGAAGGTTTTGTGAACGCTGGCACCTGGCCGTTATGGCCTACAACACCGCCACCAACGAGGCTGTTCTTCTCCCCGACCTCGACCCTTATTGTAGGCAGTCACGCTCGGTCCTCATGCTTGATATCCGACACACGCAAGTTTCACACCCTCTAATGAACACGATATGTTGCGGGACTGTCCGGAAGCTACCGCTCCAGACATTTCCTGTATTCGGCAAGTTTGGACGCCGTTGAGCCATTGTAAATCGAGTGGGATGTCGGAGACAGGGTGGGGTCTACGACGCCCGGCTGGCAACGCCGGCCCGCGATCTGGGGCGGTGCTGCGGTGTGCCGGTGGGAAGCTCAGGGGCACGTGCGGTCCCCAATACGGACAGACAGCAGCGCGGTGGCAAAACAAGACCGGTCCGGGGAGGGCAAGATACGTGCCTCGAAAGTCTTACCGCTGGTAGCGCTGGCGCCATCCCTACGCTC